AAACGTGTGATTGTTAGTTGAAATAAGTATATTTTTTATGGAAAAAAGCTTGTTTCCTATATTTCTAACCACCTCTGTGGCTCAGTGGTAAGAGCGCTTACCTTTAAACCTAAAGGTCGTAAGTTCGAATATCATCTGGGTGGAGAAATTTTCGTTTATTACAAATTAATGAATGAAAATAATTTCTATCCTTGTGCGATCGGTACTCACCGGAGGGACCACAGACATTCGGATACAATTAGCGTCTCTTAGCAAAGACAATGACGTCGACTTTGCTAAGTATCAAGACAATTACCCTACACACACACACACACACACACACACACACACACCTACACACACACACACACACACACACACACACACACACACACACACACACTCTACACTAGGTACCTGACTGTACCATGCCAATGATCTTAGTTGTCGAGGCATTAACACAATAATAAAAAAATATGGCTATATTTTTGATAAGTTTCTTTAGATTCCCAACTTTTCCGTGCCTGAGAGAAACAAAAAAAAATGTGAGATGTAACTTTAACTAATTATTTTAATAGTGCGGGTGGCGGGTAGGTACCCTTTAAATTATTGAAGATAGTTCTATCAGGTAAAATAAATCAATCCTTGCCCTCCTCAGATTCCGGGGGATTCCTGACTTTACCTGTCCCTTGTCCAAGTAAAGTCCACAACGGCAGCCACGGGGGAGAAGCTGAGCTTTGGTACGGTACAGATGGCGGAAGTGGCAGCTTTCAATTATAGGGTTAATATAGAAACAAAACAGTAGCGTCTGATCCAGAATGGACGGCTACGAACAGCATCTGACCCAGAGTGGGCGGTTGATATAAAACTCACCAACCCGTGTAGCCCGTGTTTCATCAGGCTACTCATCCTTCTAACTATATAGACATGGCCAATACTAAAACGAACGTTAAACAGTCCCCAGGTGAGTGGAGTATGTTATGCTAAATCCCACACTCAGAAAAGGGTCTGCCTTGTATAATTTGAGAAAGGTAAGAATTCCCTTAGTACACAAAGAATGCACATCGGAACATATAACATCATATTAAGGAGGACAGAAGATAATCTAGAAGAGATGCGAGACAAGGCTTAAAGGCGAAGAAACTACTCTACTAAAATGTACAGTTTGTACATGTCAGGGCACATTTTGTACCAATATAATTCAGGAAATAACCAAGGTATAGGACACGTAGGCTTTTTGGTCCGTAAGAAAATTAAAAACTTAGTAACTAAATTCCAAGCAATTTCTAATAGAGTTATCCATCTGGTAATAAAACTAAATCGTAGATACAGCATTCAAATATTCCACTATTAATTACAAACTTCTCCTCAAGATGACGTATAGGTAAAACAACTTTATAAAGACATTACAAGACCCTGAAATATAGAGAAAACATATTACGTAATTTTTACGGGAGATTTCAATGCTAAAATAAGGAAAAAACAAAACTAACAACAATGTATTGGAAATTTTGAACTGGGAAGTAGAAATCACAGGAGAGATATGCTAACGAATTTTCTTAGCAAAGAAAAACTATTCAGCTTAAACACATTCTACAAGAAAAAGATGCAAAAAAATGGACGTGGTACAGTCCAGATGGCAAAGTGAAAAATAAAATTGACTTAATACTATCTAACTTTAAAAACGTTGAACCAAGAAATAAAATCGAATGAGCTACATGGTGTATAGAAGCCGAAAACAGAATATGTCTCCTGCTTCTATACACCATGTAGCTCCACCTATCTACAAAAAAAATTAAAGTGTTTGTTATGACATTCTACTCTTGTCAGATAGGCCGCAATTAACGAAATACCCCTAAAGATGATCTAGTGATCGAAAGTACTTGGGCAAGATTAAATTACTACTGTGCTCGATATTTGCCCTGTATATTGTCAAAGTTTATTTTCAGTATATACTTCTCCGTGTCGATTTTTCTGCGTGCATATATGTCAGCTAGCATATTCTCATTTATGTAGCATTGGAATGCTTTTTCTATTGAATTAAGAGCCATGATAAAACAAATTGCGAATTTATCAAAACAGTTGTTTATTTTTAAAATACATACTTACATATTATTTTGTAAACCTTTACGACAATTTACTATATTATGAGCCCTGCGCCTTGGTGTAATTAGTTGTGTTTTCCACTCATATCCAGATTTCGATTTTAGTATTTCGGCAACAGGTACTGTAATTTCATCTAGAACTATTTCTTGTTCTTTAATATTGTCCGTACTTCCTGATTCACTATCAATAAGCTTGCATTCATCGTCACTATTGTCACTTTTTTCTAAAATTCTACGTAATTCCTTTTCAGTATAATATTTACGTCGCGCCATTTTCTACTAAATACACATATACATTAAGCAAAGGGAAGTAAAACTAACAGTCCAAAACACATTAAAAAATAGAATATAGTTTATGTATTTAGCTGGCCGACAACAGAAATATACGTATATGTAAATAAATATAATATGTAATTTCCCGAATTGCCATACTGAAATGGAACTGAGCCGGACACGTCACCCGAATTAGTGATGAAAGGTGGGCGAATAGATTGCATGAGTGGTGACCGAGGTTAGACAATAGAAGTAGAGGAAGACCCCCTACTATTTGGACTGACGATCTTAAGAAAATGTCAAGAAATTGGATGAAAAGTGATCAAGATAGCACAATGAATAAAAATGAGGGAGGCCTATGTCCAGCAGTAAACGCAAAGGACTGGGTGTTAATGATGATAAAATAAACACGTTTAAAAATAATATAAAAATTAAACTAATGTTATGAACACTGGACGAAACTTAAAAAACTAGTCTCTACTTCGATAAAATTCAGAAAACTTTTAGTTATTTTGATATAAGATCAGTTTTGCACCCTTTACATACTACACGTGTATGATTTCTGCACAAAAACTTTTAACAACTATAGCAGAAAGCAGTCGTTTTCTGATTCTTATTATAGTCCTTCTCTTTTTTCACTACAGCAGTGAAAAAAAAAAATAAATGGAAAATGGCACTCAACTGGAAAAAAGGGCCTATGGCCTAGTAAAAAAAAAAATAAAATACCCAATTGATTTTAAGAAAAGTTGCAATAAATTGTATTAAAACAGAAGAAGCTAATGGTCCCAGTTCTGATCACTCTTTAATACTACTTACAATTAGTGAGCATATTATAGTAAGAGAAAATAACCCCACCCTACACAATAATAGAATGGTCTAGGCTAGCTTTAGACAGGAGTAAAGTGACAAAATTAAGCTTAATGTACCAATCCAAACTAAAAAAATTGACTAAGAAGCAGAGAAACTAACCAAAAATTTACAACAGGCAGCATGAAACAACACAAAACAAAACCAAAGTGCAAAATCTCTATCTATATATCTATATAATTAGCCTTCTTCGGTCCATCTTTGGACATAGGCCTCCCCAATCCTATTCCATTTTTCTCTGTCTGTCGCTACAGTCATCCACCTAGAGCTCACGTGCGTCTTGATATCATCTTCCCATCTCATTTGGGGCCTTTCTCTGCTTCGTGTATATTCCCATGGTCTCCAACTTATTTTAAGAATTTTGATCCATCGGTCTTCTGTTTGTTTTATATTATGTTCGGCAAATCTCCATTTAAATTTTGCAACTTCTAGTCTAACATCTCTCACTTTTGTTTTCTCTCTTATTCACTCGTTTCTCTTTTTATCCATTAGTCTTATGTGCAACAGTTGTCTTTCCATTACTCTTTGGGTTTTTATGATGTTGTCCATGTTTGCTTTTGTAAATGTCCACGTTTGGGAACCATAAGAAAGAACAGAGAGTACGTATTGATTATATACTTTGGTCTTGTGATGCTGTGAATATCTTTTATTTTTAAGAATGTATCTTAGTTTGCCAAATGCCGCCCACACCAGTCTAACTCGTCTCTTTATCTGTGCTGTTTTGTTTCCTTTGTTAAGTTTTATAGTTTGTCCAAGATAGATATAATCCTGAACTTGTTCTATTTCATCTTGTCCGATCCTCATTGTGATGTCTTCATCTGTATTTGTTATATTTTTGGTCTTGCTGTAATTCATATTAAAGCCTATCTTTCCAGCTTCTACGCCCACTTCTTTCATCATTTCAAATAATTCTTCTTTTTTATCAGTTATCAATACGATATCATCAGCGTAACTTAGATGGTTCAAGCGTTGTCCACAAATTTTTATACCTTTTTCTTCCCATTCTAATCTTTTAAAAGTATCTTCAAGAGCCTGATTGAAAAATTTCGGTGATATTGTATTATCCTGTCTCACGCCTCTATTTATTTGTATGGATTTTGTTCCCAAAATCATCTCAAAATCATCCCAAAGAAATTCGAAAAACTGTGCAAAGAAAAAGAAAATCAAGGCAAAAGATGGCAAAAGGAGAAAACAGAAAATAAAAATGTATTAAATAACCTAACTTAACAGGAAAATAGTTTTAATTAAAAAATGAATTAATAAACCAATATCTAAACGATCTTACCGATAAACAAACCCCTGACTAATTTTTATGAAAATTTACAAAAATAATTAACAGACCAACGCAACAGATTCCGCCGATTAGAAAATAAAATAAAAACAAAGTAACTGGAAAATCTATTAAGAAAATATTAATACAAAAAACTTAACGGTCATTTGTTTATGTTGATTTAGTTAGTAATATAATGATACCGTTTAAAAAAATACATAAATTTAATTGATTCATCTTATTTTTCACAATATTTTAAAACATAATTGTTGTTTTCTACATGTACTACGTGAAACACGGCCAAGCATTACATACTGAAATGCCATCTTGTTTTGCTTGGGTATATCCTACTTTGGTTGAATATTGTCATAAATATTCAGATTCTTGAGTTCAAGTATGTTTTACAACCACAGCTGTTTTTCAAAAAAATAATCTCTCTCGTAATTCAAGTGTCTGATATCAGTAGGCGTTCATATAAATATAGTATTTTCAATAGGCGTAACAGGTTTAATTTTTATTGAATAAACTGTTAGTATGAGAGTAGCTCTACTAGTTTTGATATTTGTAGCGGCGGCTATAGCTTTTACAGATGTAGAAAAATGGACTACCTTTAAAGTAAGTAGAAAAATTTAATTTTTACGATCTTTTATATATTCTCAACATATTAGTTGTATTGGCGACGTGCAAGTAATTGGATGTGATACGAGAAACGATCGTGCGCGAGTAGCGGAGAAATCTTGCATTTTTTACTGCAATTTTCATAGATTTCATAAATTCGTATTGTCAATTGTCATATTTCATATTCGTTTGTTTATTTACACCTTCTGTCACTGAAGAAAATGGGATTTAGGAAATGCTGTGTTATAAATTGTAAAAATACAACAAAAAATTGTCAATTTAATGTCAGTTTTATTCGTTTCCAACTTCAAAGCACAAATTACTACAAAGAGAAAAGTAGATTTATATCATAAAAAGCATAAGTAACATAACCTCAATTATGCATTATTCTTGCGCCCGATTTTAAAGTCAGTCTGAACTAAATAATAAATAAAAGTTGACTTTTAAGTGTAAATTTTAGTTTCATAACACTCACTTAGAGTGCATTTTAACCCAAAAATCAAGTTTAATGTTTAAATTTTATTTTTTTGAAGTTTACAAAAATGCATCAAGTTCAAATTTTTCTGAAGATGCATTAAGATATATTCGCTGTCCAAAAGTTTACAGGAAAAGAATTAATTGTTCAAACCAATATAATGATATCACGGGCGTAACCTGCTAATTTATGCATTTATTTATTAGCATTATTTATGGTAATTTATTTTTATTAATTCTTCCACATAATTCTTACATTCTTTTTTGACATTTGCCACCACTAAAGCTTTTCCATTTGACTCAGTGCTTGGTTGAAAAGGTATTTGGTGATTTACTTTCTCAAATCCAGTTTTTATTATTGCATCCATCTTAACAGTAATGCTGTAATTTAATAATATTTTTATTTACACTACATACAACGTTTACCTTTTAATAACATACCGACATAACCTCAATCTTACTTTTTCTTCTTATTCTTTTTTGAGCCTACGTCCTTGACAATTATCCGGTTACCTCGATCTAACATGAAAGCGCAGTAAATTTTGCTGATTTACGACACCAGGTGTCGCTGTTCCGAACTTGCACGGTCCCAATAGGAAAATTTAAAATGGCAGTAGAATTGGTATAGCTAGTCTGTAGCAAATCAAGGTCAGTAACATAGCAAAACTAATTTTTTATGAGCTGTTTTTTTTAGATTACTCACAACAAAGTATACAAAAACATAAAAGAGCATAATCATCGATTCGAAATCTTTAAAAAAAATCTGATTCGTATTAAAGAGCAAAATCATAAGTACGAAACAGGAAAATCAACTTATAACTTTGGAATTACTAAATTTGCCGATCTTACTGCAGAAGAATTTCTCAGCCGTTTTAAGTCTGGTCGTAGTCCTATAAATACGTTATCAAAACCTAAAAATACTGCTAATAATGATGAAGCAAAAGGTAATATTTTCGATACATCTGATGATCTGCCAGATCAATATGACTGGACTCGCGCCGGAGCGGTAACACCAATAAGAGATGATCCAGATTGTTCTGCTTGCACAGCTGAAAGTGTAGTAAGTAATACATAGCAATTATCTAATCGTTTTTATATTATTCATGACTAAAAAGCGGAATAAATTAAAAGTGTATATGAATAATTATGTTAATAATTATGAGTTTTCCAAAAAAAACCAAGGAGATTATTTTTAGCGTAATAAGTCATAGGTATCCACCTGCTTTTAAGGTTATAATTATTTTATCAGTTTCTGGAAAATATTTATTTAACCCATTTGATCCCACGATATTTTTTTTTTTTTCGATAATACAAGATTTTTTTGAATATCCTTGTTGAATCTGGGTTAAATAGTAACAATTCATTGTTATTTGACAAAAAAAATTTAAATTTTTAGCAAAAAGTAGGTGTGTTCATACGAGTACAATGGGCTGATCGGGAGTCAAAAATATAAAACATTGTGTAAAAATGAAAATATTTTATTTTCTTCTTATATATAGGTACATACTTGGTTACATCCTGTATTATAATCTAACGAGTATGAAATTGTACAAAACAATCACGTTAAATACACAGAGTAACTTCACACTTTATACAAGTCCAACGTACTCTTTGATGGCATAAGCGACATCGAAGTTGTTTGTCTATTTTCTTAGGAAAATGACCGCTTCCATCCATTGTTAGACTAATTGGTATAGATTCTGCTAGTCATTTTTTTCTGCAAGTAGATTTCCCAAAACTTCTTAAATAATGACGTACTACATCTCGTTGAAAATCCAAAAGATCCATTTCTTTATTTCCAGCAAACATTTGTAACCTCCACGAGTTAACAAGAGCTGAGTTGATCATGTGGGTAAAAATGGGCCACCACCATTTTTTACCTTGTATACTGACTCGGTAGTTATTAACCGATTGGTCAAAGAGATCAACACCGCCCATTGAAGCATTGTATGATGAGAAAAGATTTGGTTGGGGTACATCAATTTTTTGTTTGGCAGCAGCACTCCAACGGTACACTTTTGAAAGTGGTTCAATACTATCGTAATTTGATGCTATTGTGACAACATTGTTGTCGTTCCATTTTACAAAAAGTAGTAGACTTGACTTGTCACAGCGATATTCGAAATATCCACGATTCTTCTTTTTGATTACAGCGGAAGTTAACAAAGGACATTTTTTTATACAATTTTCTCTTGCTGTGCCTGTTGCTCTAAAGCCCTTCTCTTTTAAAGTTTCCATCAAATTGTAACTAGTAAAATAATTTTTAAAAAATACTTCGTGATCAGTAGGCACATCAACGACATCAAGCATTTTTAGAACAACTTGTGATCCTAAAGGCAACGCCGCGACTTTTGGTTTATCCACTGATGCTCCACAATATGTGTCAAAATTGTAGCAATAACCAGTTGAACTACAAAGCATCCAGTCCTTGTACCCGAATCTTACTGGCTTTCCCCTTATGAACTGTTTTGATGAGTGATGCCCAAAATACTTTATCATCGCTTCATCAATTGATAAGTCTTTGTGGAATATGCCAAATTGTTGAAATTTTTTATTTAGTTTGTTCATGAGAGGCCTCACTTTTACATTTTGTCCCTTGTATCAATTTTCGAATTATCTGCCAAATGTAGGTATTTTTTAATTTCTTGGAAACGGTTCCTTGAAATTGCATTAGCCACGAAGGGAATATGAAGATCCTCATCTAAACACCAATAGTTGCGCTCTCGTGGCAATCTATGGTATCCAGTAAAAAGTAAAACAGCCAGAAATATTTTTATCTCTTCCTGCATTACATGAAATTGATAGTTATTTTTTAGCGGCATATAAATTTGTCTGCTGTGTAATATATTCAATAATTTCATTGTCGAAAAATTTCTTAAATATTTCTATAGGATATTTACCTCGGATTTGTTCTTTCATTTTATCCAGACGACCCTCGTAACCTGTTTTAGATGTCATACTAATGTCAGTAATTTCTTCCGTTCAGTCAGATTCCTTTGTTTAATTTTGACTCTTCAGTAAATTTTCTCTTCTAATGGCAAGAGGAAGATTGTCTTCTTCGTCGTCATCAGAGTCATCACTCGTGTAATAAACCTCTATTTCTCCGGGAACGTCATTCGGAAGGCTTTGAGTCTGAAGATCATCCTCATCTATGTCGTCATTGTCAGTTTGTTAGTCAATCTTAGGAGGAATGACTACCACTGATGCATCTTTATAATACCAATATTAAACCTGAAACCATAAAAAACCATTTAATCATTTTGATCTCATACAAACCCACTGTACTCAGACGAGTACAGATCTATTTTGTAACATAAAAACAAAAATAATAAAAAAAATCTTATACTGAATAAATAAACATTACTAGTACTTACCCTTACAACAGTAAAAGTTAAAAAAATGATAAATAATATTAACATCACAAAATAACAAGCACTTTAATAATCCAACAGAAATATCAAGGTTAGGTTATAATTACTGCGGTCAAAATACGAAGAAGAGCGCCACCCAGGGTATAATTTGTGAAAATCTAGTAGAACACTTTCTAATAGAATCGGACATACACGTGGAGTACCACTTTTTTGCCAGATGTGTCACTACTAGGCCATTTTTGCTGCTGTACTTAGACGAGTACAGCAAATTATTATATACAAAACATTGCTGAGGCCGGTCCTCACATATGGAGCAGAAACATGGACATTAACGCAGAAAGATGAAAGACTTTTGGGAATATTTGAGCGTAAAATACTCCGCAAAATATTTGGAGCTGTAAACGACCAAGGGCAGTGGCGCAGAAGATATAATTTTGAATTGTATCAGCTCTTTGATGAGCCAGATGTCATAACGTTCATTAAAACACAGCGACTTAGATGGGCTGGACACATAATACGAATGCCAGAAAATACCATTGCTAAAAAGCTAACCACAGGAACACCTGTAGGAACAAGAAGCAAAGGCCGACCGCGAATTAGGTGGTTAGATGGAGTAGAAACCGACTTACGAATATTAAAAATCAGAAGATGGCAACATGTTGCCAAAAACCGAACAGAATGGCGACGAATCTTAGAGCAGGCCAAGATCCACAGAGGATTGTCGAGCCAAAGATGATGATGACTTAGACGAGTACTGTGGGACCAAATGGGTTAAAGTATATGTTGTATCGTGTGTAGTGCTTTAGAAGTATTTGGTATATCATGAATGTGTGTCTTGAGTGAGTCCATTTCAAATAGGTAAAGTAATAATAAATAAGACTTACTCACAATCAATTTAATTTAACTTTGCAGACGACCAGTTTCGTTTTCTACAATGTGCAAAGCATCTCCAGGTCTCGATACAAAGTCCAAAGTGAAATAAATGCTGAAGTAATAATAAACTCATATTAGGGTGCTGTCTAATAAAGATAAACAAAGTAGATGTTATATATTACAGTAATTATGCCAATATTACATATCTGTGGTTTTTCAAAATGAATAAAAAGGTATAAAAAGTTTTAACAGACAAGGTAAGACCCACAATTTATTATAAAATAGTCTTTTAGATTGTAATAAATTAATAAATGAGCAAATAAATAAAACATTGCTTACATGCCGGTAATCTATTAATTGATGGATGGTAGAACATGGTTGAAACTATCATGTATTGTTGAAAGGAGAACTTAAGTCTGCTATTGTAGTTGTTTGACAATAAACGGGAAGTTCTTGAGGAGATAGATTTGATCCAATGAAGTAGAGATAGGTGTAACATCTATCATCTAACAAACAATCACATTACACCTATCTCTACTTCATTGGATCAAATCTATCTCCTCAAGAACTTCCCGTTTATTGTCAAACAACTACAATAGCAGACAAAAAAGAAATTTACAGCATTGTCATCTGGATAGTTAAATTAAATTGATTGTGAGTAAGTCTTATTTATTATTTTTTTACCTATTTGGTATATGTTGAATTTAAACATGTCAACCATTTATAAAACAAATAATTTTACAAATTGTTTGTTGTATAATCAAAGCAAGAAGTTTTGTGATGATTCCTTTAATAGAATATTTTCTGTCCAAATTTCTGGGGCATTTCCATCATCTAGCACGTTAGATTCTTTAGATTTTTACTGATGACCTAGCTTAATAAAACTTAATTTGAATTGTTTTTACTAACACTATTTAAACACTAACTAACACTATTTAACTAACTATATTCAAAATACTTCAGAAATTCGCGTCGTTTGTAGCCTTTTTTTGTTTTTCACTCTTCGTTTACATGACACCATAGTATAGGATTCAATACGCTAATGCAGCCAAACTTGTTCACGGTGTCTACACCTGACTGTTTTATTGTAATCAGGAATTATATGCAGCTTTTTTTTAAATCTGCAGATATTTCACCACTATTGTGTGACAGTATAAGTCATACGTCACTTTTACATGTCTTTACTAATTCCTAAGGAACTTCTGTTTTATTTATAAGTTTTGCTGGTTCAGTGCTCTTGCAATATCAAGGTTTGTAAAAAAATTGTCGGCAGTCACATTTTATCTTGATCTATCCAGTCCATTTGCCATCCTTTAGACAACTCGCTTGCCTTGGTTGCGTTTACGATGGTCTCTTATATATTTGGCAATTGTAGACATTTGAAGTTTGACTATTGCATCTTGCTCAGATATTTATCCCATACTTTCCTGGTTTTAAAGGTATATATGGCTTGAAGGACACCTGTGTACTTGTAAAGTAGGGAGGGCGGATTAAGCTATACAGCCGTTTGAAATTGACAAAATTGACCCATTATACATTCTCCCAGGGAGCTGTCCTCTTTAGCCCATTGTCCATCCTGCCATTGCTGGGAAGGTGGACAAGTTACCAGGGGACACGTCCCTTATGTGAGAGGTGTGTTGGAGGACTCACCGAACGCGTACTCTCGTATTAATGATTACTCCGAGTATTTCCGTAGGACATGTTCTATACTTTCGTCTTCGTGTTCACACTGCTTGCCTAGAGGTATATCTACTATCACCAGTATGTAAAGGTGTTTGATTAGTTGACAAGGACCACTTTAAAAACCAACTGTCAAGCATATACTTTTCCTGGTCCTTACCCTTTTTTTCATCTTTTTGCGGTTTGCGTATGGGAGTGACATTTTACAATTTTCGCGATTGTTGTAGTTGACCATCTAAAAAGATCTCCAGGTTCTAAGAGTCTGACGCCTGACACATTTCTTGGTTTGTTTTCCTGTTGTGTTCTTTATCCCACCTTTGATGTGGGATAATGTTATTAGCATCCGAAGCTTGATTTGATGACTTAAGATTCTTTTAAGTTAGTAGTGTTTGTCTCCTATCTGTGTATCTAAGTGTTAATAATAGTTTTTTTTTGTAATACTATTTTGCAATTTCTCTTCTGCGGCTATGGAGATATCAGCCAGTTTTGCTCGAACTACGTCGGCATTTTTACCTGTACCCCATTTTATTTTTGGATTCCGTGATCTGGAGTATATCTCGTATTCTAAGCCTTTTCTATTTTAAAGCCATCGATATATATATATATATATATATATATATATATATATATATATATATATATATATATATATATATATATATGCAATAAGTATTTGACACGTTTTTCCCCCTATACTGTCATTTTTCGATTTTGTAGGGTTGTAGGTACAAACCGAAAATTGTCTTCCTAGCAACGCCTTGTCGGCCATAAAACTCAGCAAAAGAAAACAGTTAAAAAATAGAAGAACTGAGTATTTGGCAACGTGTTAAGAAGATTATACTATTTAAAAAAAGTAGTGGTCAATGGATTAAATCGCAAATTGGTTTATTATTATTAATTATTTTAAATGCAATTTGTAATATTAATTAATGTTTTGGATTCATACTCATTCTAATAAAAATGTACCTTTTGGTCGTTATAACCGTTACGGTATTAAGATATCTTTAATAAGAAAAGTATTCAAATATTTACAAATATTTAGTAAAAATAGAAATATTTCTATTATTCGGAGGAGCAAATTGTAATTTCTCATATAGTGTGTTATCAAACTAACCATTTTGCAGGACGGACATTGTCTGCATAGGTTATTGTGTAGAATCCATTGCTGCTGCTGCTGAGTTGGTCTTAAACTATGTTCCAGAGAAGTATTCTACGTACATTTGTACTTATTCTATTGGAACATTCCTGACATTGAGCTATTGAGTCGAGGTTGAGAACGTGGTTTTATTAAGCGCTCTTTGAATGTCTATGAATATACCTAGGGTGGATTTTTTATTATGCAGCGATCTTTTAATTCTTCCCTCTACTTAATGCATTGCAGAATCGGTAGATCTTACTGAAATATATGCATGCTAATTTGGATGTAGCGGGTTAGGAACCAAAAGTTTATCCCTCATATACCTTTCGCATAGCCGTTCCATAGTTTTCAAGAGAAATTAACTTGGGCAAAGTGGTTGGAAAACCTTTGGTATTGAGTAGTCCATCCTACCTGGTTTTGGTATATAGACTACACCTACTTTTCTTCACTTCTTAGGAATATATCTCAGAGCCAAAGAGGCTTTGAATATTCCCACACGGTGCGGCAGAAGGATATAAGGATATTCAGTATACACCGTAGTAGGGCTAGATATATGCCTTTAGGTCATAGGACTTAAAAGGGGTAAGCTACAATATGCTCATCTTACTACTTCCTCATTTTTCATTGTTTTGGCGAGATACCAAACGTCGTTCATGGAGGGTATTACTGTTTCTTTCATCCAGTTTGTTGCTTTTGAGGCGCTAAAACCGGGAAGTATGTTTTTATCAGGATCTCAGCAATTTTGCATGTTGGACACCTAGTACGAAAAGTAAGCAACTACTCATCGACTGCCAATTTTTGTAGGGTATATATAATCTTGTAATGTTAATAATGAAAATTCAAAAAAAAATCTTATCGATAATAATTATTCTAAATCTAGATTTCTTCTTCTCCCTTTGGTATTATCCAACTATAGATGTTGGGACATTGTGAGAAATCTGTTTCTGCTCATGGTTATATTGAATATTGGGCTACCCTCTTCTGTATCCAAAAAAATCATTATTTCTTCGTTATGAGATTTTTAAACTTGTGCTAATATCAACAACACAACGAAACGTAGAAGCTCCTTAGCATTAATATTTTTCCATAAATTTACATGCTTTAGTTGACCTTTTTCATTGGTCTATTGAACCATGTAATTTACAATATCCCCCCCCCCCAAAAAAAAAGGAAATAACAGCTGGAAATTCTTTCAACGTTTTGCTAAGCACGTCTTCTAGTTCCTCATTTTCAATGCAAAACATTTTGTTGTGCTTGGTGATACCCTCTTTTTATTTGTGGTTCAAAGTACCATTTTTCGAGTTAACTTTTGACCTGTAGTACTGTATAAATATTTTATATCTTGCCATTAAAAATATGAACAGACACTTTTAAAGAAATATACGTAGGTCTATCTATCTAATTAGCCTTCTTCGGTCCATCTTTGGACATAGGCCTCCCCAATCCTTTTCCATTCTTCTCTGTCTGTCGCAACAGTCATCCATCTAGAGCCCACGTGCTTCTTGATATCATCTGCCCATCTCATTTGGGGCCTTCCTCTGCTTCGTTTATATTCCCACGGTCGCCAACTTATAAGAATTTTGTTCCATCGGTCTTCTTTTTGTCTTATATTGTGTCCGGCAAATCTCCATTTCAATTTTGCAACTTCTTGTCTAACATCCCTTACTTTTGTTTTCTCTCTTATCCACTCGTTTCTCTTCTTATCCATTAGTCTTATGTGCAACATTTGTCTTTCCATTGCTCTTTGGGTTTTTATGATTTTGTCCATGTTTGCTTTTGTAAATGTCCACGTTTGGGAGCCATACGTAAGAACAGGGAGTACGCATTGATTATATACTTTGGTCTTAAGATGCTGTGGATATCTTTTGTTTTTAAGAATGTAGCTTAGTTTGCCAAATGCCGCCCATTTTTATCATGGCGAATAATACGTAGGTATTATCAGATATTTAAAACAATATCAATAATGAATTTTCAAAAGTATATGATCAGGTCGTTAGGAACTTAATGATTGATGAATGACCTTCTGATATCGCAGACACTATCAAAAATACCAATGTAGATTCTATATATTAATAATCGTCTTTGTAAAATTAGTCAGAGTGATCTTAATATTCATACATATATAGCAATTGCTTAGACAATGAATGTATTAATGTAATTTTGTCATTTTATATAGTAAAATGTGTCTTTATAGGTAGCAGCAGTAGAAAGTGCTGAGTTTATAAAAACTAACAATCTAGTGCAAAGAAGTCCCAAGCAGCTAGAGGACTGTATTCCTTTTACCCCAGACGATTGCTGGGTATGTTTGGACAAAGATCTTACTTATAGTAGGGATGTCGGCATTATGTCAGATGATGATTACCCATGGAAATTTGAGGATCAGGATTGTCAATTTGATAACATTAATGTCACTACGCCACTAATACACATAAGTGACTGGAGATATGTCACAGAGGGGGACGAGAAAGAACTTCAACGTACAGTTTACCTTGAAGGACCTGTTGTAGTTGCAATAGATGTCACCATAGATTTCCAGTTATATGTAGACGGTGAGTACTTATATGTTTTCTTATTCGTTTAAGGCAGTTCATTGTATTCTAATTTTATAATATTTTTAATAAACTATAAAATTGGAATGAGCCTTTCTTTTTTATATTGACGTTGTATGGATGTTAGGTCTTATAAAAGGAATTTTTCTTCTTAGGGTGCCTGTCTGAACGTTGGCGATCATTCTAGCTATGGCTATATAAAATAGCTATGTTAAGGTTTTTCTATACCATGCTCTTAGGTTAGCAAGACAGGATTCTTCGTAATGAGCACCTTTTTAGTTCAATATTATCTTGCAAAATGAATTAGAGTAGAAAAGAGGTTAGATCTTTGTAAATGAAAGATGGAGAAAGGCCTAAAATAAGTATAAACCATTTAGTTAAGGTTAAAAAACGCAAAAATGGTTATACTTACAAGTTAACATGCCCGAGCTACCAAAATATCAGGGTATTATACCTCAGGTATTTTAAAGGGTTTTTACCCTGATAGTTTGAGGAACTTTACATACTCCTACCATATGTAGAGTCCCTTAGGGAGCATATCACGTGACCACTAAAAAATGTCAACTCCTCTTCTTTATTAATTAACAGGGTGATTTGTGTAATTGACCATTTATTTCATTTTACTGTAGTGTTTATACGGCTCATTTGATTTTTGCATGATACAGTACACTACTATCAAGCATTCGACTGGTATTAGCTAAACTAAAAAATTTCAGGACAGGCTTTGGAAAAATTAATTTAGGGATTCGTATTAAATATTACACCCTGTATATATTTTTTTTTAAATGCAATAAGTGATTTTAAAACTACATAAATAGCCAATGAAAACGACATATGCAACAATGTTGTCGAACTTTTATTAAATTTTTAGTGAACGATCAAATCTTACCAAAAATAGAACCACCATAATGAAGTATTAGATCATAAGCTATTAATTTAAACAAATGTTATAAATTTCAAACATTTTAATTAAAATGAGTTCCTACAACATAATCTAATACGTAGAAAATTAACATCTTTACTGTCACTTTGTATTATCTCTACGATAGAATCAATTGTTTTTCAATTTTAAATTTTGACTCATAGATCGTATTGGGGCATTATTTTCGATAAATAATAAATTAAATTGATTAAAAAGTCAAACCTCTTGTATGTGTTAGTTTTTGTTGATTGTAAATGATTAAAATTTTATGTCAAATAATAATACATGTATCAAGGTTGGCGTTGACCGTTTGACGTTTCTTGATATTTTATACCCATTGTTATTATTGTCATTATTAATTGTTATTTATGTGTACAAGAATACATATGTCTTCTGTCATATCTACGTTAAGTACATTGTGTTTTGGTAGAGCTTTTGTTACTTTCGTTCAAAATACCACATCAGTTTTCGACCACAGAATATGCAGACATATTTGTTTATGGATTCTGTAATGGAAATGGTAGGGCTGCTAGTAGAGAATATCGCAGGAGATTTCCTAATCGTCGAACTCCCAGTCATCCAACATTTGGGTCAGTTATTAATTATTTGCGAGAAAATGGCACTTTTCCTAGTGGAACAACAGAGCGACATGTAGATGAAGCGCAGGAAGATGACATTATGGACGCCGTTACTATGAACCCTACAATAAGCACTAGACAAGTAAGTTGAGAACTCAATGTTACTCAATCAAAAGTAAGTAGAGTCTTCCAAAAAAATAATCTATATCCATATCACATTCAAATGGTTCAGCGAGTACATGCTGGAGATGAGATCGATAGGTTGAAATTTTGTGGATGGATTAACAATAATCGACCAACGCTATACAGGACACTATTTACAGATGAAGCCCAATTTACCAGAGACGGGATAAGTAATTTACGAAATTCACATGTGTGCGCAGAAGAAAATCCCCATGCTATTCGAGAACGTCGTTCTCAGTTAAGGTTTTCGGTTAACGTGTGGATTGGTGTCATAAATAACCAATTAGTAGGTCCTCACTTTTTTGATCGTCCTTTAACAGGGCAGGTCTATTTTTTGAACTTTCTACAAAATATTTTGCCGAATTTGCTTGCCAACGCGAACGTTGCTAACCGAGGGATGTATTTTCAGCATGATAGGGCACCCCTACACTTTTTACTGGCAGTGAGACAACATCTCAATAATGTTCATGGCCACAGGTGGATAGGACGTGCAGGTCCTATTTCGTGGCCTTCAAGATCCCCTGATTTCAATCCCGTTGATTACCATATTTGGGGACGATTGAAGCAACTAGTTTACGCAGTGAATATTAATAACCGACAACAATTAATTGAAAGAATTATACATTGTTGTAATACTATTAGAAACGATCCCCAGAGTGTCCGTAATTCAATATGTCAATTAACAATTTGGCAACAAAAATGTTTACAGGCTGCAGGGTTCCATTTCGAAAATCTATTTTAAATTATTTTTATTTTGTTACCATTATTGTATCTTTTCCAGTTCTAATTTATGGGTTTATCATAACTATGTACATATTTTTCGTACTTCGTTATTGTTAGTAGTTACTGTTTTTTGTTGTGCAGGGACTCAGTTTATCATTTCAATTAAAATGTTTGAAATTTATAACATTTATTTAAATTAATTACCTTATAATTTGATACTTCATTATGGTTGTTCTGATTTTGGTAAGATTTGATCGTTCACTAAAAATTTAATAAAAGTGCGACAACATTGTCGCATATGTCGTTTTCATTGGCTATTTATGTAGTTTGAAAATAACTTATTGCATTTTAAAAAACTATATACAGGGTGTAATATTTAATACGAATCCCTAAATTAATTTTTCCAAAGCCAGTCCTGGAATTTTTTAGTTTAGCTAATACCAGTCGAATGCTTGATAGTAGTGTACTGTATCATGCAAAAATTAAAAAAATCAAATGAGCCGTATAAACACTACAGTAAAATGAAATAAATGGTCAATTACACAAATCACCCTGTTAATTAATAAAGAAGAGTTGACATTTTTTAGTGGCCACATGATATGCTCCCTAAGGGACTCTACATATGGTAGAAGTATGTAAAGTTCCTCATGACTCACCCTGTATAAAAGAGAACTTTAAAATCAGAGAACAATTTGAGCCAATTCCTTCCAAGCAGTGGCGAAAATTATTTACCTGAAGTCTATCTGCCAATGGCAACTCATATGTTTTACTCTTATAATGTACATTCACTGTACATTCCCCTACAGCTTTAATAGGTTGACACGAAACAGCAGTCAGTTTGTAATTTACAAGTGCTAAAACTAGACTCATTACATCTTTTATTTTGATACAGACATTACTGTTCTACATGCACCAGTATCTACCTCCGAGGTTAAATTATTATTGTTTATCTTTATGGTTACATGATGTGCAAAATTTGTCACATCACTCACTGTATGAAGATTAAATATGTCATTATTTACCTCATCACTCTCAATGTAATACCCTTCCGTTTGTACTACATTCATAGGTTGTGATCGAATATATGGACACAAATTCTTGACATGGCCCAACTTTACACAATTAAAACATCTTCATTTTTTAGCTGCACATTTACCATTATGATAACCTCTGCCGCAATTTTTACAACTTTAATCTGCACTGAGAGTTGATCTTAACTTTGGATTTCTATGCTTGCCTCTATTTAATACATTTATATTGCCTTCCTCGGATAAAAATTTACCTTGCTTTTGTGCGACTTCTGTGGCCAAAGCTAACTAACAAGCATTCTGAAATGTTACCCAACAACTTCTTTTATATTCCTTTTGTCTCTAATCCCACAAACAAACCTAGAGCCTAAATCCCTTAAAGCCTCTTCAAGAAACTGTCCAAAATTACAAGAATTTGCCAACTTCCTTAGCTCTACCCTGTAATCAGAGATAGATTTATAAGCTTTTTGTTCACACCAATTAAAAACAAAACATTTCTAGATTTCGGACAGAGGTGGAGCAAAATGTTAAATTAATTTCCTTTTCATATCCTGGAACGTAAAGTCCGTTGGTTTCTTCGGTGCCACTAGGTTTTTTAACACCTGAAAAAGACTCGTACATCTTAGTGTGATTAACATTAAAACCTTCATATTTTCTTCAACCTTATCTTTCTATGTAGGATTCAAATTCTTCTGGAACACCGGTACAGGCTTCAATATTATCTATCAACGCCATGTTGCTGGCTACAATAACTAATGTAAACCACCTCTGTATAAACCCTACCGTAAATAGGAACCTCACTTAATTTTTTTTATCTCGTCGCCAAAATGTTACATTTGGGCCTGTGACACAAATACTAAATTGTACTTTGATTACTTTATTATGCAATATCTAATAAAGAGATAAAAAAAGAGCTTGCTACCCCTTTTTTGGTTACCTGTCATCTGTCGCCGTTGATAGCCCAACACAACGTTGCCAAGCCACACAGAAACTTACAATTACATACACATCACTTACATATCGAAATTTCCGGGCTGAACCTTTCCTCTGACTATATTTATTATACGGCACTTGTTGAGTCCAAAGTCCTAATATAATTTCAGAACATTTTTACAGTTTTTAGCATCTGACCTAGGTGGTTCCGAGTGGAAACCATTAATTTCAAATCATTCATATACAGATTGAACCAAATTAAAACGGAACATACAATTTAATACATGTCTGTTTGAACTGCATTTGAAATAGTGGACCAATATAAAACTTGAACAAAAATAAATCCATATGGGTATAGACATTGTATAAAATATCGTTCAACTATTTGTCTCACAACAATGTTGTTTGCGTAAGACGGGTTTGTCTAAGGAAACGATAATAGTTCAGGAAATGAATCTCGAAAAAAGTTAAAACCTCGCAATTTTTTCGTCCTGCATGTATCCAGTTGAAATTTTAACAGAAGGGAGGTGATAGCCCAAGGATCAAAATCTATATCGAACCGAAGTGCGCTGAAGGGTTTTAGGGGTGAAAACTACCCCTAATTGTCAAAAATTATAAAATAACATATTAAAC